GCTTCTTTTGAATACATTATGTGCATATATATATCTTATCACAATCTTATATACTGCAACGGTTTTTTCAATTTTCAAAAAACTAATGAAAGCAATAATTAGCGAGCCTCTATGTGGAAAAAGTTTGCAAACTATCGTACCAAAGAAAAATAAAATGTTTAAATTGAAAGGGTACCTATATTTTTAGAAGAGATTAATTTTTGGAAAAGAAAGTTTTGGGCCTTCTACTTTTCCATCTTGGAAATCTTCCAAAGAGAGGAAGGAATAAATTTCAAACTATTTACTCTATCAAAGATATATAGATCATGCAAAGAAGTAAGTTTCAGATTCAAGATGGAAAAGTAGAAGGCCAGAAACTTTCTTTCCCAGAAATAAAATGATTTATATGTATTGGCAACATGTCGTTCACAGATATTCTCAATGGAAGTGAAGCCAGATTGTAATATGTGAAAATTTCGACTTACCCGTAGCTGCCTTCGTTTTTGCATTTTGTCTGGTCGGTTATGAGATACTGCTGCCGAAGCTGCGAAGGCCCCTGCAGCCTTACGAGACATACATTGCCCCATGGGGCCTTGACGGTTTCGTCCCTAAGGATTCTGCAATCAAAAATGCCTTATAAGGATGCACGCGGCAAGTATAGTATAATTGAATTAGTTCCTCGTTTTCATACCAATCGAATTTTTATTTGTCAATCAATCGATGATCAGAGGGTGTACCCTCAAAACGATCACAAGGTAAAATACAGGGCGAATTAAAAATTAAAGTTGAAATCCGATAAACTTTGGGGTGAGAATACAACATACAATGTTGTATTGATGAAGGAAATTCATATTTTAATTCGATGTAATGAAAAACCCATAACTTTTTTTTGAAGTACGTCTATCGCTTTTAACTTCCTTATAGTGTACGAGGTCTGTTAAAAAAAGGTGAATGTTCAAATTTCGCGGTCTGCGTATATTCGAATAGCGAGTTCTTTTTTTAATTTTTTTTATATTGGTACAATCGTCTCGAACATATTTTCACAGTTTCAGCCTATTGGCATGTTCAGTTTGTTGGTGAGATGCATTAAAGTTACAAGTGTTTTGCATGTTTGGTGATTTTCTGCTATCGCAAATAATGGATCAACAAATTTGCATCAAATATTGTGTAAAAAAATGGAATTAAGTGCTCAAAAACACTTGAACGGTTGACAGTGGCATACGGTGATTGTACTCCGAATCGGAAAATGTTTACAATTGATACAAGCTTTTCACAGGAGGTCGAGAAGATGTGAATGACGAAGCTCGCCATGAACGCTCCAGCACACCAACAACCAATGAAAATGTTGAGAAAGTGAAAAAAATTGTTATGGAGAATCGTCGAGTCACTATTAGAGAAGTTGCTGAGAATCTTGGTATACCGGTTGGCTGATGCCATGCAATTTTTCCGTTCGTTCCAAAATTGATGAATTATGACCAAAAAAATCGCATAAGCATCGCTCAGGAATTGTTGAATGGCGTCAACGGCCAACCAGACTTGCTGGAAGAGGTGATAACTGGTGACGAATCATGGGTATATAATTATGACATCGAAACCAAAGTCCAATAATCCCAATGAACGTTGTAAGACGATTGAGGAGATAAAAACTTAATTTCTGAGAGAGCTAAAGGAGATACCAAAAAGTGCATATCAGAACTGATGGGGGACTTCTTTGATGGGAACAAAATAGAAATTGATGACTGAATGAATATTTTTTGATAAAAATGAAAATTCACCTTATTTTTTGAACAAACTTTGTATTTAATCACCAGTTACAGATCTCGTATGTACTTAAACCAGATAGCTCCCCCTATGAGTATCAATAAGAATATAAGATACGAAATATTGAATAGCGGTTAGGTAAACATAATTTATAAAGCGTTACAATTGAAAAAGTATTACAACCAGAAGCACAGAGAGACACAGAGTAGAGTGAATGAAAACATCATCCTCCACCAAAATTCAAATTTCAGGCGATAGGCTAACTGTTCTGTTATTGAAATTGAAAATTGGTTCCAGAACAATGACGAGGGTTCGAAGGTACGTATATATATACAATAGTATCCCACCCGCAACTGCATGGATGATGATTTTTTGAAAAACATTTAGCAAGTGTATGTTTTTTCAAAACCTTCGTAGAGAACTAAGATGAGAATTTAGAGTACAGGTCTCGGAGAAAATACAAGAAAAAGATTCTCAGGTTTTTTTGGAGAGTTAGTACTTTTCTATAATTCAAAACGTTAAATACTAAGATTTATATACAGTTTGTCTCAGTAAGAAACAATCATTTCCAATCTTTCAGTATACGAGATAAAATATTTTTTATATGCAAATAAATAATGACGACTTCCAACTAAACTACAAAAAATGAGTTACCTCAAGTTAGTAATTTTTCGTAGATCCATTCAGTGCATTTCTTTAATGCCCCCCTCCTTTTATTTTTTGAACAGGTCAACTCAAAAAAATTGAAATTTGGGATATTGAAATTAATGCATGAATACTTTATTTTGAAGTGAAATTGAGAAATGAAACTTTCAAGATAGGACTGGGCGCCATCTGAGAAAAAAATTAAATGGAAAGGGGGGGTACTGTGACACATAATTTTGAAGCTCCTGACGAATACTTCACAACCCTAGAATATGAAGTCAATATCTTCACCTACTACAAAATAGAGGAACATTTATTAATTTCCTGAAGACAAACACATTAAATCGATATTTCCAGAAATATTTCTTTTTATCTGCCATGTGGCAATTCCAACAACCCGATAAGGTTTTTTAAGTTATTTTTTGTTTATTGAAACGACAAAAAATGTCAATACGACAATGAACATCATTGTTCAGTTAGAATATTCTCATTCAATTTTCGGTTTTACTAGTAGAAAGGTACCACGTCAACAATCTCTAAAATGGTTAATTCTCGTCCATTGGAAGAAAAAATTTAAGCGATTTCTATTTACGGTGCGACGCGTAACTTTCATGAGACCGAAAAGATTTTCAATGAATGTTTTCCGAATCGTCCTATCTGTAGAAAATATTTGAGGGAACTTGTTTCCAAATTCACAACTACCAATAGTGTACATAACAAAAAGCACCCAGGTCATCCGTCCATTCCGGAAGAACAGCAAGTGCAAATAATTGGTGAGATGGTAGTGAATCCTGAACAGTCTACTTATTCCGTCGCGAATATTTGTGAGGTGTCTCCTTCTATTGTCTGGAGACTTTTGAAGAGGACTAAGTATCATCCATACAAAATTGAAATAGTACACCAATTAACTGAATATGACCCTGATCGAAGAACAGAATTCTGTGAAATCATGACGGAAACCATTGCAAGGCATCCTACCCATCTCCACAATATTTGTTTTAGTGACGAATGTATATTTTTTTTAAACTGAAATGTTCACAGACAAAATTGCCGTTATTGGAGTGACATTAACCTTCACGTTTTCCGGGAAACACATACCTAATATCCAGAAAAAATTAACGTTTGGGCAGGAATATTGAGAAACCATATTATATGACCTTTTTTTATTGATCAAAATCCAACAGGGGAACTGTATTTGAATATGCTGGAAACTTCTGTTGACCCTCTCATCACTGAAATCGTCGAAGTGAATCCTAATGAATTCGATATGGATATTGTATTCCAACAAGATGGAGCACCACCACATTACTCCAGACAAGTAAGAAACTATTTAGATACTACTTTCTCCGGTCGTTGGATTGGCCTTCGATGCACTACAGAATGACCAGCCCGCTCGCCAGATGGGACACCTTTGGATTTTTGTATGGGGCTATTTGTAGCAAAAGGTGTACGAAGCTGAACCTGCTTCAATACTGGATATACGTCAGAAAATAATAAATATTTGTAGAGATATTGCGTTACTGTGTTCGAAAATGTTCGGCGTGAAATATCGGATAGGCTGTTCATATGTCAAGAAGTTCAAGGCAACCATTTCGAGCATCTTCTGAACTGACCTCAAGCTTATTACCTCATATTATGTAGATAAATGTCAATGTATTCAGGCAATTATTAAAAGTTCTTGTTAATTCTTAGCTCGTACAAGTTTCTGAGGGTTTTCGTTCGTAGAGGTGCGACAGCTGGTTAACGGAAAATCAGATTTCAAACAGAACAGATTTTTTTATTACTACTCCTTTACTGTTTTGCGACTTGCCATATATATGCTTTGTATCGCCAATGATAAATAAATATTATTTTCCCGAGGGGCGCGCCAGCATCATCAACCAATTACCAACCCCCACACCCCGTGGTAAGTGATCATTGGGTCCGAGAATCATGTGCCAAGCAAACGCAATGAGCCAAAAATGACAGCCTTCAGCGTTTATCTGACCAAGATTTCTCTCTTATGACGACAACCTTCTGCAAATTGGCATTATCTTGAGAGGAGAGCGGGCATCGTTCCATCAAGAATTCCAATAATCAGAACAACCATCTCAACACAGTGGTCTGGATAGTCTGCGTAGTTCGTACGATATTCGTCTTATCTGAAACTGAAAACTCCAATACGAATTTCGTCTTGCTCTGATTGTCGAGAAGAACTACAGCGATCTCATTAGGTGAACATTTCCAGTGAATTCGGCACTTTCCACTCCCCACAACGGATTCAATATCCCCCAGAGCGTAGGGCAACACCGGTGTCTCGTCAATACTGTAAAAGTGCCGTAGGTTGTATTCAAGCACTCTTAGGGCCGCCATCAATTGTCAATGGATATAGGCTGAGACCGTATAAGCTGGACATGCCAACAGCAGGTGCATTAGGGTCTCAGGCGCCTCACCGCAGGCCCTGCACCTTGTGTCTGGAACCTCCATACCCATCACGCGACTACGTTAGACTAGGCTGTTGAATACGATATCATGGCAGGACATGATCAACCTCTCAGTTTCCGACTACAGCCCACTCGATCTGAGAAAAGCAAAGGTCAGGTGCTTTGATAAGACGAGATCTCAACAAATAAGTTGGCGTTTTCAGAAGATGAAGTCTACTTCGCGTCGAGAAGATTGTTGCAGTTCTGGTGTTTGGGAATAGTCCTTTTTTTGAATACATTATGTGCCAGAGGTTCCAGTTCTACTTTTCATAGACTAAGGATGATATGAACACAAATATGCTCAAAGAATAAGAACAGAATAATAACGTTGAATATATTATTATTTTTTTTACCGAAGTATGCGCTGGTCAGGCCCTATCTCCCGAAGTCCCGATATATTCGGGAGGGCGCGCCCCACACCGTGGGGTAAGTGATCATTGGGTCTGAGAATCATGTGCCCTGAGCAAGCGCAGTGAGCCAAGAATGATAACCTTCTGCATCTGTCCATCAAAGATTTCTGCCTTAGTGCGGCAAGCCGGTATGATTTTAAGATTCGAGAATAGAGAGGCATCATTCCACCAAGGACTCCAATAATCAGAACAGTCATCTTGACAGAGTGATCTGAATAGAGTTCGCGGAGTTCGAAGAGAAATTCTTGATATTTTATCCGTTTTTCCTCCTGTATTCTGACGATATTCGTCTCGCCAAGAGCTGAAAACTCCACGACAAATATCGTTTTGCTCTGGTGGTCGAGACGGACTACATCAGGCTTATTAGCTTATATGAGCCTGAGGGTGGGGAACGAATAAATTCGGCACTTCTCGTTCCCCACAACGGATTCAATATCCCCTGGAGCGTAGGGCAACACCGGTGTCTCGTCAATACCGTGCCGTAGATGGCCTTAGGGTCGCGGTATGTCGATGGATATAGCTCGAGACCGCATATGCTGGACATGCTGATAGCAAGTGCATTAGGGTCTCGGGCGCCTCGTGGTAGGCAAGCCATGATGATCCCCTCAGTTTCCGACTTCAGCCCACTCGACCTGAGAAAAGCAAACGTCAGGCGCTTTGATAAGCCAAGGCCTCCAATGTTATTGAAGAAGATCCCATGCATTGGCTTATTCTTGTGTTTCCACAGAAGTGAGGTGATCTCTGCGGCTTTTATCTGAGCTTTTTGCTGAACGGGTTCCAACTCGATGACAGAGTTGTGGTCACCTCGTTCAGTGTCGAAAACTATAGCGAGTTCATCAGCTGCTCGGGCAGCTGCCCTAAAGAGAAATGCTCCAATTCCTGCTCTTTCAAGGTCACGGACCATGCAGAGAAGGAGATCCGAACTCCTGACGACTTTTCAGGCTGTATCCAGTATTATTCTGTCATGTAGACACTCCAAACTCAAGTCCACGGCCTCCCTGTTGTCGGGAACGGACCGTGGAACGGGCGATTTGGGATGCAAACTCCTATAGAGATGCATCATTTTTCGGGTCTTTACGTCAACTTATTATTATTATTATTATCCTCTATCCACATTTTTTTTATTTAATAATTAGCAATACGTTTTTATATATGTGATCGAATTGGCCGATACTTGATGAAAAGCCATAATTTATTCAAATTTCCAGCGAAAATAACAGAATAAAATATTACTTGAATAAGTTTTTTTTTATCTTTTTATCTCGTATACACCTTTGCTCAGTATAATTAAACCTGGCGTGTAAGAAAGTGAACCCATTACAGTAGGTATTATGCTAAATTTTATTACTGAAATTGTATCTTTAACAATTTTACGAATGATCGAAAGTCAAAATAATTAACATTCCATCACCAGGCAACCACACCATCTCTGCAACCTCCCTGTACACCTTTGTCTATTATTCACAGAAAACTGTAGGTACTAAACTCCTATCTTGAAAAACATGTCAAAGCTAATAAGGGATTAGAAGTTTTATTTGAATAAGCTTACGATTATCCAAAACACCAAAGCATTAAGGCTTAACAGACATACACACGCACAAACACATTTTAACCATTTTACCATCCACCAATAAACATTTGTGAGAATGTAACGCCAAACAATAATTTAAAAAGACATTTTGAGAATGATGTATGAAATGGTTCAGGTTCATAATTTCTTATGTTTGCGCCAACCACCGGGATTTTTAAGTTTTTCTTTATCAAAACCGCAATATCAATAATCAATAAACGCTAATGTCGATGTCATAAAAAATAACTCATTCGCATCCTTCAATCTAAATCCAAAACAAAAACCAACGATTACCTTTCTGCTCCGTTCCGAATTTATTTAAAAAACTGTTGGAAATCACAAAATACATATTCACACCATGAATCCTCAAAACATTCCTAATCAATTTTTTAATTCTGCTGTTAAAGGTATTGACACTTCGTAATAGAAACACCTGTCATACGGCTCACACTTTACTGCAATCCGAACTGTGTGGATAAAGAACAGGTACTAACTAATCACTGTGCTTTAAAAAAATATCAACTATTAATAAGCATGGCTATGGCAGGAGGCAAATGCACCTCAATTGTTGAACATTAACATGACATTCGACAAAGCAGAGATCTGCAAATGTTTACAATATGTTGCTGATTCCACCTGAAGATGACTCTTAAAGAATTGTAGGATCCTGTTTTCCATAACAGGAATCGGTATATTTCGTTACAATGGGCGACATCTAGGTTTTATAATCCGAATATTAAACTCAGGGAAAACATTGGTTAATGTGATAACTTTTGAATATTATCATTTTATTTTCGTTGTTTATGAACCAAAAATAGTAAATGAATAGAAAGTCAAAACATGCTAAGTGAATCGATTTCAGTAATTTTTTTTAATTTTTTCGAAGTATGAGGGTAAGTTGATACCACTGAAGAGTTAACTATCTCAGAAAGAAAGTAAAGATCATCAATGGAAAACGTACCTGACTCAGTACAAAGATACCATAGTCCTTCAGTTCAACCATAGTTGAGTTATACCATAGTATAAAGATAAAATATTATCTTTATAATATGGTTCAAGAACATCATTTTGCTTCAATGGCTCCCTTGTCCCTCTGAATACATAAAAAACATAAAAAAACTTCAGTATAACTTGAAAATTTTTTTTTTTGTAGAGAAGTGGAAATATTGTGGTTGATATCGATTTTGTCCACAATAACAATTCAAAATTTAAAGTTATTATGCATTTTATGTGTAGCTTACCATCAAAAGATATATTATTAGCTAAAATTTATCTCTTCATACGGTTGGCAGTAGAAAATTAGAATTATTAGCAATTGATGTATTCTAAATTTTCTTCAATAAAATACGTGGCTTCTATTTTTACTTCTTTGTAGGCAAATTTACAATAGAAATTGCCGGTTGATGCCTAATCTAGTTTAATTATTATCATTATTAGCAGAGACAATTCGTAACTTCGTACTCCAAAACTTACAGGTTGGAAAAATCAATAACTCAAACCATATACTGATTTCAGAATCTAGAGTAACATCAGAAAGCCAACTTTCAGTTAGAATTATTATATGATGGTATCTGGAACAATGTAATGATACCATCAGCATTCTGACAATATGCTTATAATGGAGATAACGTTAGTTTTTCTCGAATCAATTATAGGTGTGCATTTTTATATCTGATTGTTAAATTTTTCTTCAATTTCTTGTCTTTTCCTCCATTTTTTTGCAGCCATTACATCTACAGGAACTCGACAGCATCCCCTTTTCACACCGTAAGCATTTACTCATAATTCACTTTATGCTGCCCCTGTATTTTGTTCGTCTGTATATTATAAAAACTGGGCCCAACGAAACCAATGACCTTTTTAAGCTGAATTCCATTGAATACATCCGGTTTTGCAAACATGCAACACCGATCACCCGCAGTTGAACTACAAACTGAACCAATTTTTTTCAATTATCGCAGAATATGAAAGAGATCAAGTTTTTCTTAACACATTCATACATGCGTAAAATACTGCTTATCACATGGCAATACAGGATCCAAAAATCTCGGCTACGTTACAAATTAAACACAACTTGGGAAGAAATCAAATTATTGTTGAATCAATATTTGGATAGACCTCGATATTTAGGCCTTTTATTCCAAGAAAAAGAATTTTCCAAATGTCCAATTTATTTCAAGGGCAGAACACAAGTACAACAGGAAAATCCTACAGTGTTTGTGTTCCACAGGTTTATCCCACATACACGCAGTTCTCCACATGAAAGAGTCCTTGAACAGTAAAGTTCAGCCTCAGTCCATCGCGTATTTCAGATATGTACCGCTCTTGGTGGAATCAAATGTGTCAAGTCACGTGTTAGGAATTACACGTTAAAAGGTAAGACCTCGTTAGTCCTCAGCTCGCACAAGTTTCTCAACTTCTGAGAGTTGTCGTTCGTATGGGGGCGGCAGCTGATCAACTTAAAAACAGATTTTAAACAGTTTTTTTTTAACTTGAACACCTTCTGTAAAAGTATCTGTTAAAGACAGACAAATCTCCAACCTTTCTTCGATGTTTCAGACTATCAAGGTTGCAAGTGATAATCCTGTCTCCAATCAGGCGGATGGCTCTTTTCTGGATGGAATCCAGCAGCTTCAGGGTATGCTTGGGGGCGGATCCTCATACATGAGAACAATACTCCAAAGGTCAGATCTGGGCTTTATAAAGCATCTAAATTTGCTGAGGTGTATACAGTTTTCTAATTCGGAACAGTGTTCCAAGCTTTTGAAAAGAAGCCTTCGCTATTCCAGCCACATGATTGTGTCAAGACATATTAGTGTCCATTTTAACCCCCAACAAACTTATCGAAGCAGAAAGCGGAATTGTGTGTCCTGATATTATTATATCCGGTTCAGAAACATTTATCTTTTGGAGAAAGTCGACGCCTGAGTTTTCGTGGCATTGAATTGAACCTGGTTACTTTCACCCCAATTCGAAATCACCTCAAGATCCACATTAAGATATGCAACCTCCCGCTGCCGGTGAAGATGTGACTTCGTAGCCGATATCCTGGAATCCAAATAGAATGACGAGACAAGTATGCTGTCGTCAGCAAAACAATGAGTTCCCGCTGACTTTTGTTAATAGACTTCAAACAACGTGAAAATGCACGTGGCTATTCAAAAACAACCACTTATTCCCAAAGAGAAGCAGACCCAAAATAATATCATTGAAACTATAACGCTAAATACTCTTTCAGCCAGTTTAGAACTTAATATTGGACATATAGTACGAACAGGAAATCTACCCTCCATGCTCGAAGCTGTTACAAGAATTAAATGAAATTACAAATCTCAGCAAAAATTAAAACAAATGTCGTGTGAAAGAAAATTCCTAAAATCAACCAAATTCTCTAAAAAATTTCTGAAGGCAAAGTTTCCAACAGAATTTTTAAAGACCGCGTTTTCAACAGAATTTCCATGACCAAATCTAAACGCGATTACAAGCACTGAACCTGGACCCCAACTTGAATTTCTCAGAATAGATTCTTGTAGATGTTGCAAAATATAGAAACCCTAAAAATTTCCAACGCAAGTACCGAAAAATCCTGACGAAGTCGACGACGAATTTACTCGGGCTGGAAAAGCCGCTAGTCCAAACCGCCGAACGAGTCGGCGAATGGTAAAGGTATAAGAGGCTGAAAAGACTGTTAGTCAGGACGAATAGTGAGGGTATGGATACCCAAAACGTGCAGAAGAAAAGCAGCGGTACGCAAGTACCCACTATGCCACCCACCGCTCTAAAGCAAGAATTGGCGAAAACACCGCCAAAAGTCCTGAGGTACCCCAAAAGATGGAATGCTATATCAGCGTAACTAGCCCACCGTAAAATAGCATACACAAAAACCAAGCAACAGAGGGATGGTATATACATTCAAACCACTAATGGACAAGAATGTAGAAAAATTATTCGATTCCTTGAATAAAAGAGAGATTTCCACACTTTTGTGAATATTCATGCCTACAGGGTGTTTATTAAATATACGGCCAAAAATTAAGAGACTATTCTAAGGGTATTTTGTCCTTTGATGATTTTTGATAGGGCGCTTTGATTCGATGGTAATTTTAAAATCATTAACATAGCCGAAATAACAGTATAGTATACTACACTGAACCTACCAAGTAATAAAAAATCTAACAATTCCGTTGGTACCTATCAACAACATTCCGATTACTACAAACGGCTGCAAACATTCAATGTGAATAGTATGTCTTGTAAGTGGTTATTTGAATGTGTCGAATAGGTTGAAACTGATTGAGTTCGTCTATTTTACGTGCATTTTCTGTGTTTGATATTTGAAGTCTTGTTAGTGAAGTCCTCTATCATGAATGGCTATAGTAACGCAGAGATGACTGACATGAATTTCATTTATGGACTTGCTGGTGGCAATTCATTGGAAGCTAGGCGTTTGTACAGTGAATGATTTCTTAATTGTAATGTGCCTAATAAAAAATCCATCCAAAGTATATATCATAGACTTCACGAAACAGGAGCATTGAAGCGAAGCGAAGGTAGAAGAGAATGTGCTGGTCATGTTAAAAGAAGATCCAGGCACCTCGATTCGAAAAATTGCAAATACTTTAAATGTAATGGGACAATACCAGATAAAGATTTTCTTCCACGTTTTGCATTCTGCCAATGACTTTTGCGCATATTGGTTCAAATCCCTCAACTACTGACACTACTACTAGCGATGAAGCCAGTTTCTCAAGAAATACAATAAGGAATTTCCACAATAACCATGTTTGGGCTGAAGAAAATCCACATGAGGGGCTTGAAGATCGCTTTCAACATTAGTTATCGTTAAACGTTTGGGTGGGAATTGTAGTTGACTTCCTAATTGGGCCAGTATTTCTGCAAGGATGACTTACCGGCGAGGTATACCGCAACTTTTTGGAACAAACGCTAGCTCAGTTTATGGAAGAAATGCAATGTGGTTTTTGCACGATGGTGTACCAGCGCATTTTAAAATATTGTCTTGAGAGTTTTTAACAGTAATATACGGAGATCGCTGGGTTGGTCGAGGTGGACCTCACTTATGGCCTGCTCGATCACCGGAGACATTAGTTATACTACTCTAGTGGAAGATTTGAGAAATCCGATAATTGCTGGGTGTAACGCAAGCAGAAACGATCCTGATGTTTTCGAAAGAGCTCGGGAGTCGATGAGGAGAAGATTGGATTCTTGCATCCGAGCGGGGGGTAGTAATTTTCAACAGTTCTAGTGGATAAAGAAACATTTCATGTAATTTTTGGTAATAAATTGGTATTGTCAAAATTCTTTTCCGCTCCATATCTTCGAAACAAAACGCCCTATTAAAATCATCAAAGGACAAAACATCCTTAGAATAGTCCAAGGAATAATCCCTTGAATTTTTGTCGCATGATCTAAAAGATGAATAAAGTTATTATTATCATTTTTGTTTTTATTACCAATTTTGATTACAGTAAAATTGGACGAACAATATAACCATATCTAAAAATATGGTAATTTTAGGATTTGTCAGTTAGATGAAGGATTTAATGAAAATTCTGTGATTCCTTACAATAATAGATTTATTTCAATACACTACATTTATATTATTTCATAAATTAATTTCCTGCACAGTCCAGTTACTCGGACCCCTAAAAATAAGAAAAATGTTTACTTTACCAAAAAATATTGATATTTTTGATCTGCATTACCATTCTTTGTAAGTTTTATAAATCGTGTTGAACAATTTTTTTTGTGAATTTGTAGGTTGTTGAATTGCTAACAATGTTTAATTCATCCGTTTTGAGAAACTGATGGAAAATTATTCAAACTACTTGAGAGTCATTCAGAATTGTGGTGAGGTAACTACTTATTCAATTCTTGCCATTACAACTTACCGTAGGGTCGCAATCAGCACAATGCCACGAGTACCCTCTTCGTTTCGGTGTTTTCTTGACGGGTGGATCCAGACAGGTAAAATGATAATTCTTCAAACATTCGTCACACCTATCAAACATAAAATGGAATTAATATTCATGGAGAATGTGGGTAAAATCGGGTCTATTACTTGACGGAATCGTTAGTTGACCCATCTTGCTGACAAACGTCACAAGAGTTTGATGAACTGGTACTTTTCTTGGGTGAAAGTTTTTGCTTTTCCACAGGCTTCGAAGCATCTGATATCCTGGGACTTCTACTCTTTCTCACTTCTCGTTTTTCAATTTTGGCGGGAACGGGGACCGAAGCTGCTACGACAGGCTTGGGAGGCAAAGGCGGAGGCACGTTGTCGTCTGCCTCATTGTTCACATAAAAACACTGAGGGTTCGATTCAGAAGCCACTTCTCCTGCTGGAAGAGGAATTGGCTTTATCTGGAAAATAATAATAAATAATTGCATTAAAATACCTGATCAAATACTGTGCTAGCAATAGTATTCTTTATTACCCCAATACTTCAAACCTTTTACAGAGCTTATTTAATTTGTACTGGCTGGATAAATCTATATTTGCAAAAATATTTGTTTTTGTATTTTGGGGAATTGAACATCCATCATCATCTCAACTAAAAATCTCAAAATATGTTACTTCATCACTTGAATGGTAGGTTACCATTCACGTTATTTCATTTTCTTTCTTTGCAATATTTCACATTATTTGATAGTTTCCACAAATAAATATATCTTTAAATCATCTGCAAAAGTAATTAATTTATTACAATGAACATAATCATTGTTGCCATCTGTACATAAATAAAACGAAAGTTGTCCAAGATTCGATTCCTAAGGGACTCTGGATGAGGATGATATACTTTGGTCATGAAATAAATCATGAAAAATGAGAAATTGAACTTTCTATGTTTTTCACCACTTTTACTTGTAACTATCGTTAATGCAGTTTCATCCTATATGAACATTTTCAAACTAATACAATATTGCAGTAACTGCAGTAACGATAGTTACAAATAATATCAGAATCAGAATCAGAATATGCTTTATTGTCCAAAGGATACAATTCTTGTTGACAAAGTCAGTTGTCGTACATGGATGTATGTTAAAATATAGTTAAAATAACACTTACAGATGTATAAACACAAATAAACACAGGATCTGATCAAATTAGAGTAAATAATGGTACATATATATATATATATATACGGAGAAGTACAGAGCCAAAACCGTTCTTTCCCAGAAATGAATCTCCCCTAAAAATATACTCCTTTCAATTTAAATGATTCTATATTTTACAGCAATAGTAAATAAATGTGTCTTCAATCAGAGTTGTAGAAAGAGGAGAGTATTCAAAAACACACTTTAATGCGAAATTCCCCCTTGAGGATGCTATTGTAGAGTGAAACACGTGTCGCGGTTTTGTAAACTTTCCAGTAGAAATCTCACGTATTTTTTGAATACGTCAGTTCTATCATATTTTTGAAAGAAAAGAGAGTTTGATATGGTTGTATTAATCACAAGCATTGTAAAAACCATTTACATTGTTAACTGAGTATGTTGAAAAAGTAATATAGGTCCTCAGCAGTATGGTTTTAGGAAAAATATGTCCACTTTGGATGCTATCAAGTCATTAACTTGTGCCATACAAACCAGTTTTGAAAGAAACGGAAAATTTTTGGGAATCTTCACAGACCTAAGTGCAGCTTTTGATTGTGTTGATCATGACATACTACTGAGGAAAATGGAGTACTACGGAATAAGATTAGTGGCACTTAAACTAATCAAATCCTACTTGTCCAATCGATTTTAAGTAGTTTGTATTGAAAATCAGAAAAGCACTCCTCGGACAATAAGTAGAGGAGTTCTTCGGGGATCAATATTGGGCCCCCTTCTCTTTATTATTTATATTAATGATTTGCCAAATATGTTCACCTCAAATATCGAGACAATCATGTATGCTGATGATACCACATTTGGCATCAGTATCAATAAAGGGGAATACCCCGCTACAATCCTTGGGGAAGTTATGGAACAAGCAAAAACCTGGTTCTTGACAAACAAGCTCATACTCAATGAAAAAAAAAAAAACAAAAGTCTCATTTTCGAATCCAGAATATCCTACAATGTAGAAAACGACCTAGACATGCTGCACACTAAATTTCTATGTGTAGATGTGGATGTCAGGCTACTATGTATATATACAATTTGCAATAGACTAAATAGTGCAGTATTTGCTATAAGAAAAGTTGAACAACTTATTAACCAATCCGCTACAATAACTACTTATTATGCACTGTCCGAATCCATTATTACATATAGCTTGTCTATCTGGAGCTCGGCAGCTCCTGCAAACCAATCTTTAAAACGTTGAAAATAATGACACTTTACTCTCTGATAATTTTTGTAAAGTTACTTCTGAAGATTTTATATTTTACCTTTTGAGCATATGTTAATTTTATCATATTTTGTGACATGTTCTAAAGCTGTAGCTTTGTTATGAACCAAATAAATTTGAATTTGAATCGAATATAACTACGAAGTTACAATATGAGACAATGAAGAGAAAAAATATAATATAATAAAAAAAAAACTATACTGAAAAATTAAAAATTCTCCATGTAAAACTGAGATGCAGTTTCAACAATATATTCTAGGGAATCAAAATTGATATCACACGAATTTGAAATTGAATTGAAATTATTGCAAATGCTAAGGATACGTGACTTGAGGTACAAATTGGTTCTGACCAGTCGGTTGTAAAAAGTTTTTGTACTTCTAATTACTATAAAGCTTTGAACTCTCAATGCTTCATTTACTTTCGATCTGATGTGGTTGGAAAAAGGCAACTTTTGATCAAAATATACACAAAGATCTTTGATTGAGTTACTATGTGACAGTGAAATGGTATCTACTCGATAATTGTACTCGATGACTGACATTTTCCTACTCTACATTTGGATGATTTAAATTATTCATGCTGAAGTAAGATTTGATTAATGGTATTGTTGAAAATTCTACTTATTGATAGTGATTGGGAATTCAACCATGCAACAAATTATCTTCTGGTTGCTATGTCATTAGGGTCATAACTGACAAAGTAGGCCTTGCAACTGAGAATTTTTTTTTTGTGGTGAAGGCAATAATAGTTTGATAAAAATGGTACAGGTTGGACAAAAAAGAGCCATTACTGTAACTTACAAATTCAAAAACTGGGATTCATGAAGATAATATTTCAAATATCAATAGGTCTTTGCAGATGTCTTTTATTCATTTTAGAAAGCTCGGGATTGATATAAAAGTACTGAATTCAATATGACATATTGTGATCATCTTACATTATACTCGATCTCCCCAATATTTGAAAACAGAAATTGCTAATGGTGCCCAGTTCCAAAAATGAAAATTTTCAGGAAGTGAAAAAACATTCATTGGCAAGAGTACTCACATTATTCAGCAAGAAAATATCTAAAAGTAAAAACATGACAACTAAATCTTTCAGCAATTACAGTATTCCATTGAATTCTGCGTTAATTGAATCCAATTCAACTGTAGTCTGTGTTGAATCAAGGTAATTGAGAATTATAGATATTAGTGGTAAAGTTTAACTGTATTCATCCATTCTACACGTGTACGTGTTATGCATATCTGTCAATATTGGGCTCATATCATTTGATGTAATGAAATACATGCATCCTACAGTTCCAAAGTAGAAACTGTATTTGGTTTTAACCTTCTGTAACTATCTTATTTATATTTATTTCTTTTATTTATACAGTACAATTGACTTCGTCAATAAGAATTGTATTCTTGAGACAATAAAACAAATTCTGATTATGGTTTTGCAGTGATTTATAACATTATGAACTGAGCAATGTACATAATTATAGATTTCAATTTTGAGAAACGTAGCAATAATTGAGATATGATATTGTGAATATCAGTCTTGAGAATAAAACAAACTTGTGATATTTTTATAATTTTGAAAAAGTATAATGTTCAATTGGACTGAAATGCATCGAAGCAATCTCTTACCAAAAAGGGGTGTATCCTATCAGGGCCAAAAATGAACTTATTCTTCAGTTTACATGTAGAAATCGAGATTTCTTTTTCATTGTTGTGACGTACATTTGTTTTTTTATGGCATCTGTTTCAAATTTGAATAAAAGTTTATGATAGACGTAAACATCTTATATTTCGAAAAAAAAAAACCCACCTTGATAGTAATCCTAGGATGAGGAAGACACTCGTCCGTGTCCAGACTCTTCTTCTTTCTCTTCCTCTTGTGCTCTCTTCCCAGATCAGGGGAGTATCTGTTTCGGTGTTTCTCCCTGCGCCGTTTCTTTCCTGATTTGTGTCCTCCTTCGTACCCGTTATCCATGACGATCTGAACGCCATTAGTCTCTGCTAGCTCGGATATCAGATTCGAGAACGAATCTACTTTGGAAGGTTCGACCTTGGAAGGCGGCGATTTGGGTTCTGGGGTCGGACTCAAAGGCTTTATTTTCAGTTTGGGAGGAGAAGGGACTTCGTAATCAAACTTGTTTTCCCTTATTGGTAACAAATCAGGAGTGAGTATATATATACTGTTTAGTAAAGTAAATGAAAACTGCTCAACAATAAAGTATTTTTCCTCACCTGTTGCTGTAGATGCTGCGGCTCCTCCTGGGTGCCTTTACCTCTTCCACTTCTGACTCAGAGGTCTTGTCACACTCGGAGCACTGCCAGCCATACAGTTTGGACTTCTTAGGCAGGCGGCTCAAAGGCGGGTTCAGGCAGTTCATATGGTAGAAGAGGTGACATGTGTCACACTTGGCCAGCAAGTGCTGATCACGGCGCTGCCTGCAAATGCCGCATTCATTCAGCATCAGAGGATCTATATTGAAAAAAGTATATTAGATAATGACAATAACATAATATTATAATAGATAATGTGCCCAAATAGTTATAATTGCAGTTTATTGAACAAAATTACAATTTTGGTCAAGTGGCTTTTGACCAAAGTCCTTCCGCTCGTGTTGAAAAATTGCTTCAAAGTTACATAGACTTACCAACAATTCTCAAGAGAAAATACATATATGAATGAGGAAATATAATACATATATGAATGAGGACATATAAAACATATTTGAATTGAAGGGGTTATATTTTTAGAAGTGATAAGATTCCTCTTGGCTGGGATTAAATCAAATAGGTGAATGAATGTCATTACGATGTCATCGATGACATAAGCAGATCAAGCTTATTCCGTGACATTAAAAAATCGTAATTCATAAATGAATTGGTGTGTATTTTCTATAATGTTATCCAATTTGGTACTGAAGAGACTTGGGGCAAGTGTTTCAAGGCGAAACATCGGTGTATACCAGTGAGGGTGACAGTGATCCATGTAAGTGCAATTTATTACCATTCATTCAAAGTAGAACTCATGTGAATGATATCTGATTTTTATTCCACAACGAATGTTTGAAATTCAAACTGAGAAGAGAAAAGTATCTTCTGTATAATTCAGTGTTCATATAGAAGTATTTGTTTCGAAAGAATTTTTTTTATTTTGTGTAATTCAATGTTTATATGAAAGTAGCTGTTTTAGGAGGACTGTCTTTCAGTTTGTGTCTGAAAGTTACTTCTTTGCATGATCTACACATCCATGTATAGAGTTACATATTTTCAAATTGATTACTTCCTTCCTTTCTTTGGAAGATTCTCTCATCCCTTTTTTGTATCAAGATGGAGTAGTAGAAAGCCAAAAACTTCCTTTCATAAAACATATTTTTTCATGAAGTTGTGTTAGCTTTTCCAAAAGTGTTTTCACTGGATGGTGATGCCTGATTCTTGCTTCGGGATTTCTCGTCACCACATACTTTCTAATAATTTCCACATTATCATCTCTTTCTGCAATTTTCCGAGTAAGTAATCGAACTCTATCCTCTATCAGCATATCTGTGAATTGGTACAGTGTGGGGCTTGATGAGTTGTGTATGGGGTTATTTGGATGTCTTAACCTTGTTATTTTCCTAATACAGGTAGTTTCTGATACTTAAAAAAATTTAGGGCTCTTTGTTTGATCTCCAGAAACAGTGAGTGTGCATGCATATTCAATAAGTGGATGACAAATCAGCTTGTATATTTCGCTGGCAGTTGTTATGCTTGCAACTGCTCCCGCAAATGCATATTCAAGATGTGTTGATATACATCTGTTGAAGAAATTGCAGAGTTCTGACGTTTAAATAAGATGAACTGAAATTTAGAACCAGTTGTCCAAAGTCAAGTCATGAGCAATTAGGACGGTGGCACCTGCATACTTAAAGATATTTGCCGTATAACTTCTCATGCTGGTAATAATAAATATTAGAGCTGTATCTATTGTATGACAGTGGTAAAAGCGGTTAACCCTGTGGATCTGACTGCTCAGAATTATTTCAACTCCGTAACCTGTCAATGAATAAGTTTTTGATTGTATGAATAAGATTTGTGCATTCTAACAAATTTTATACATAAAATATCCAAGAATAAACCAAGTGATTGATACACATATGACGACAGTCAACTTCATCGTTGAATCAAATCGATTTCATTATTTATTCAATCACTTATTGATGAAACGAGAAATGGTATAAGATTAATTATAAAGTTTAAATACATCTATAATGTATAGACTGTATTTTATCAAAAATAAATTACAATATAAAAACAACACAAATGAAAATTATCCAGTTACATGGTAAACACTGTTAGCATTTGAATATATATCAATCAATCAATATATGCTTTATTATCGGAAGATAAGATATTGACAAAGTCTTGTTAAAAAATCAAATGAATGTCATAAAATATAAAAAATACAATACATGACATAAAATATAAAAAATACAAACAAAGCAATTTCACAAATAAAACATACATGACATAAAATATAAAAAATTCAGACATAGCAATTTCACAAATGAAACATTAAGAAGACAGATGAGTTTAGGTGAACATTATAGGTTATCATAGTAGAATTCATGGATCGAATAATTAGCTTTTTTGATTAAAAGATCTTTAACTGTACTTTGGAACTTTTTGATATCTGTGCTATTTTTTATAATGATCGGAAGGTGATTATATACTTTAATAATTTCATGAATCAGAGAATGCTGAGTCAAGGTGAATTTTGGAATAGGTAAGTAAAGCATATGGTTCTGTCTGGTGTTGTGACAATTTTCGCCGGGAGTGTACATGCTAGTTTTATTTTTATGAATTGAGCATACTGTTTCCATTATCTATAAACAGGTGACAGTTAATATTTTGTGGCTGATGAATAAAGGCTTGCAGTGATCTCTCAGCTTAGACTTTGTGAGGTACCTCAAAGACCTCTTCTGTAGCTTAAATATCATATTCTGTAACTGTAAACTACAATGGCCCCAGAAAGCTAAGAGATTTGATCAGTGCAAAATAAGCTATTCTAGCTGTAGTGTACCCTAGTTCATTTGATATCACTCTAATAGCATAAAATCCACTAGATACTTTTTTACTCAGATGGGATACACGTTCTTTAAAATTTATTTATTGTCTATGTGAATGCCTAGGAATTTAGTGTGCTGTTTGTTTTCTATGTGAAGTGGTTATCCAAATCTAAATCGTCTAGTATACATTTGAAAGTAACTAGTTTTTGTTTTGTTTAGGTCAAAGCACAAGGAGTTTGCGTTACACCAGGCTTGAATTTTTTGAATATCTATTTTTATCGTATTTGATAGCTGATTAATTTCTTCATTACTCCATATAACAGTGGTATCGTCGGCAAATACAGTAAATTGTCCTGCGAGGTTAATGGTTATTAGGTCATTTAAGTATATTAAAAATAACACTGGTCCTAAAATAGACCCCTGAGGTACTCCATGTTTTATGTCGCTGAGATCAGACTGTCCACTTGATGTTTTCACCACCTGTCGACGTCCTGTCAAATATGAACCAAACTAGTTCAAATTTGTTTCTCTTATCCCATAATGGCTGAGCTTCCGCAGCAATGTCTTATGATCAACGCAATTGAAAGCTTTTGAAAAATCACAAAACACTGCTGCAACAGCCTTGCTATCATTTATGCTGGAGTACGCATTTTCTAGAAAGGAAAAAATGGCATCTGTGGTATTTTTAGAACTTTGAAAACCGAAGTGAAGGCTAGATAGCACATTGTTCATCGATAAGAAGGACATTGGTATTTTTTTCACTAATCTTTCAATAATTTTTGAAAGGGTCGATAATAAAGAAATGGGCCCGAAATTTGAGGGGTCTTCCAAATCTCCTCCCTCAATATATAATGATGAGTTGAATAAATGTAATAATTCATGATAATTTGCACATCTCTGTAATTGAGTAATGCAGCTATGATAAGCATAGCGATGTGATGAAAATCACCATCTGAAAAAATTACAATCGTTATGAAAAACTTTATATGGGTGTAAAGAGGATAAATATCTAGTTCACCCCGATAAGTTACTGAGTAAATTCAATAAATTTCTCAGTCATGTAATCCCGAAAACAAGAGACTAGATTATTAACAATTTTTAAATATAAATATCATTATTAGATAGACACAGACTACTACTACAAGTATAATCAAAAGTACTGGCAGTATAGTTTTATTGATATTAGAAATATTGAAGCACAATTTTAAAAGAAATATAAATATCATCACACCAGTGGAGTAAAACAAATAAATTTATTATTTGGGCAAATTGAAGTAAAACATTAATGTATTTATTGTGAATTTTGGTGTAACCCATATGACTTAATTTTAACATTTCTACATTGTACCATAAACAGACTACATAATTTAACAATTGATTTCAATATTTTATATAAATCAATTTTTCAATGAAATAAAAATTCTCATTTCGAGTTTTTTTCATCAACACTTTTTCTTTTCCAAATACAACAGCGAAAACGAACAGAACAAACCTCATGTTGAATTCCCTTACCTTTATTGGCATGACTGCTCAGCACCCTGTCCCCTCGACCGGAAGGAATGTTCTTCAACGGAAAACCAACTCCCATCTTCAACGCCGCCGCAGTGGGCACCATCATGGGCTGAGGAGCCCTGCTTGCCGCTGCTGGTTTGCCGAGATCATCAATATTAGGCAAATTCTTTGTCGGACTCGCACTCAAAATAGCCGAATGGTATTTGTGGATGTTTTGCTTCAGATCATTATTTTTGGCAGTCACTTCAGTGCTCTTCTTGAGAACCTAATAAAATTGCCGATCAATGGCACTGAAGTGATAACTGGGTTCAACAATAATATTTTCTTGTCTTATATCAATAAAAAAATTGTGTGGTTTTGTGCATATTTTTTTGTTTGATTATATTAGATATGACACATGTCTACACAGAATTTTCTGGTACAAAGGAAATTTTGTCACCATAATTAATTATTGATCAATTTGCAACTGAGTTACCAGTGTTTGAAAATCGCTTGAAAAATAATGGTTAGCTTTCAAAAATAATTAACAAAGCTGGTGTAGATGAAATAATTAGAAGCACACGTTTTGCTAACATGTAAAATGTAAATTAAAATATAAAGAAATATACGTTTGAACTCCTCTGAAAAACTTCGAAAAAAATGTTTCTCTTAGCATCTAGACTGATTTTCAAAAATGTACACTTAAATAATAAATAAAACCATCATCTGTTTCCTTCCTTTACTTCTTATACTCATTTCATGAGTATTTTTGGAATTTCTTGTTAAGTAATTATGAAAATATTAATTTTTTATGATTTGAATGTTATGTTTTTGTTATTTTTGAGTATTTTAAAGGCTATTGCATTTCTCAAAAAACATTAATTCATGAAAATTTAGAATATTTAGTGCTTTGTAAATGTTGTAATTTGGGGTCAGTCGAGAAATTTAAAAAACTGTTTTGTTCTGAATTCTATTAAGTATATTTTCATTTCTTTCAGTACATTAGTTATTTGCTGGTCATCCTCATCCCATATTTTTAGATATGTAGGTAGGATCGCTAAAGACTTATCGGCAAGCACATTGAATATTCTATGTTGTTCATTAATTAGAACACATTTAGAGTATGCATCCATTGTGTGGTGTCCCTCTTACTTAGTGCACAACAAGTCACTGGAAAAGGTCCAAAATAAATGTTTGCGTAGTGCTGTCTATAAAATGGGCATTCAAATGGATCGGCGACATAACTACATCGATATTCTTTCTACACTACATCATTGGAAAACAGGCGGATTCAGGCTGACCTAATATTTCTATTTAAATTATTGTCAGACCAAATCGATTGCTCAGAACTTCTCTCTTTGGTTTGCCTGAGAGTCAAGCAAAGAGTAACAAAGGATGGCAGAGCTGTTTTCATTGAGAACTAACATTCTACCAATTATGGATTTGATAGTCCAATGTTAAGAATGTTAAGGGAAGCTAATGCATCAGAACTTGATTTTTTTTAATTACTCCTTGGAGTCTATGGATGATAGTCTATGGATTGTCTATGTCTACGTATGTTTGTTAGTTTTTAGTTATAATTCTTTTATGCAACATTTAGTTTTCAGGTTGCTTTTTATTTTATATATTTCAATATTCGTACCAATTCTGTAAGTGTTTTTGAATTGAAGTGTATTTATATACATGTATATTTTACAACATTGTAACTTCGGGTTTTCTCGTGTATTCCGAATAAATAAATGACTAAATGCAATAAGTATATAAATTAAATTCGACTGGATATGTGCATAATATACGAGTTTGTATACTATGTATAGAAATGCCTATGGTGAGTTTGCTATAAGTAAAACAAGAGTTTTACGCGTTTCCAAGATGTGCCTGAAGACGCTGAAGATGCCAGCTGCCCCAGCACATCAACAAAAGATTAAAAATTGCAAAAAGTGAAAGAAATAATTATGAATGATAAATGACGCTCTGAGATTTTCACCATAGAGTGTAATTTGAATATGTTATGAATTTTAATCAAGTATCAGGCAATTCCTTCACATATCACTGAATCACAATCAGAGAAATAACTGACGATATGCGTGAAGCAATCCGAAAAACAAAAACGTCTGCATTTGTGAAAAAACAATTCATAGCTTTTACACTATGATAATGCACCTGCTGCTGCTGTAACAATGCCCCAGTCTGCATATTCGCCAGACTTGGCTCTGTGTGACTTTCCTATTTCCAAAAATGAAGAGAACCTAATGGCTAAAGTTATACAATCATAAATGACATTAAAAGTGTATCTTTGAGAGAGCTAAATGCCATGCACAAGTACATAATATCTAATGGGGACTATTTTGAAGGCAGCATGCCTAGATAGTTATACATGATTGTTCTTGTTCCTTTCTTATTTAATTTGAAGTAATAAATAAAATGTATGAATACATAATTACTATTCTCAGTGAATATGATGTGGAAAAAATACAGCATTTAATTTGTTGAAAATTATTTTCTGAAGCTTGAGAACATTGCCATCTCAACCGCACATTTGTAAATTATTCGCTTACTTACAGTAAATGTCTTTTACTACTCACAAACAAACCAGCCATTCACAATCTTTTTTCTTTAAACATTCTTATTCATTTATCTGCTCACTACTGTATATTTATATATACTATGTATATATGTGTATATACTGTATATTAAAAATAATAATTGGAAAGACTTACTTCGTCGTATTTAACCCTTAAAAGTTGCTGGTCCGCAAGCAACACCTTGTTCTCTTCCATGTACCTTTCCAAGCTTGTCTTCATCTCCTTCAGTCTGTCATTGCGGTCCAGATAGTACGCTATGAACTCGACGGTGAAAGCGGGCGGGATGTGCCACTTCTTCCTCACGTCTATTAGAGCCGCTGCCTGACTCTCCTGCATTTCCAGAGCGATTGTGTTGATTCCCATCAGTTCCGCTTTGCGTAGCAGTTTGCGACAAGCAGAAGCACTTGTCGTTAGCAGCCTCGGCATCTTCTGTGTCGGCACTACAACAAGTTTTGTAGATACAACTCGTGTCTTGAAATATTTTTCTCTCGGTCAATTATATTTGTTTGCTGTTCATGAATTTCAATTTGAAATTTGTAAGCCACATCTTTTTGAGGTTACTTTCAAATGATTTTTTTACTTTTGTCAATGAAACCTTGTAAGGAAAAAATAAGTTGAATAAAAAAAAATTCATGTAAATGTGCGAACCTAATAAAAAAAAATCTCAAAAAATATTGTTAGTTAACTGAAAATCCACTACTCATAAACAAGTGAATAATATTTGATATTAAACTCACCCCAAGGAGGCAGCTTGATAGCCTTATAACTGAGATAGTGCACTTTCTGCTTGTCCATCTTTCTCCGTATCCTCACTTGCTCTGGACTATCACTGTGCCCCTCTTGTTCGAACTGGTACTTCCTGTAGTGCGTTCGCAACTGCAGAGCTTGGTAGTTCCTTTTCCGTTTCTTCACTAAGGTCTTGTCAGAGTGCATTTTGCAGTGGGCGTAGAAAGGATCAGCTTGATCTACCTCTTCGGAATGTGCTTCTGAGAGAAAACCCTCTTTTTGTGCACTGAAAAAAATGCAGAATCGCCATTCAATAAATTAAGGCAGCCCCATGAATAAAAGCATTACAAAAGTTGAGTAACTTTCGATGACGTCACTTACCCTATGAAAAAACTAAATCAACTATGAAAAATGAGAAATAAAACTTTCTATGTTTCATTACTACTTTTTATTTGTAACTAATGTTACTGCAGTTTCGTCCCATAAGGACATTTTCAAACAATTACAATGAGTTTATTGTAATTGTTTGAAAATATCCTTATAGAATGAAACTACTAGTTACAAATAAAACATGGTAAAAACATAGGAAATTTTATTTCTCATTTTTCATGATGATCTCTAGCACGTAGTAACGGCTACATCCATCAATTTATTAAATGAACTATTACTAAACAAATATGCTTCAATAAATTCTATGTATTTGACCACTGATACAATTCTATATTATTAAAACATTTATTGAATCTTTCAACGAAAGTGGGAGTTTGTTACACTCATTCAAACCTTTATAAAATAAAGACTTCATTGTACTAGTCAAATTAATTAGAGGAAGGTGGAATTTTCGGGAGCTACTCACTCTTGTTAAGTGATTATGGATTTGAGATTTATGAAAGTATTACCCAAAATATTACTAGAATTATATAAATAGATTTGAATGAAAAAAGCATATAAAGATATTTTAAAATTTATTCATGAAGCATTGACTGAGACAATTTCAATGAACATAGTGGTATTGACATTAGTTGGTGTATTTGGAGGGTTTGTAAATATACTTGTTACCTATGTGGAGGGTGGGAAATCAGTTTTTGTGATTAACATACCACAAAAAATTAATAAAATACACAATTTTAGCGTTTTTACAATTGTTGATGAAGACAAAATGAACAATTTGAAGTTGATAGGTGCCTACATGTCCTAAAGACCGAATGGTTTTTGAGAATTTTTTTCTGGCATACAAAGTCATTAAAAATAAACAATGGGAAATCCAGTTCATGTCTGAGTGATCTAGAGAAATATAGAGTTCAATGTCTTTTACAAACATCAGCAACTCTTTTGGTAGAGGTTGAAGTGTTTGAGCATATTAAAGGCTATGATGGATGGTAAAATGTCAGTTGCTGAAAGATATTTATTTACAGGAAGGTATATCTTCAAAAAATGAGATTACAAGGAAGCTGGTAGGCATACCTCCTGGATCTGGTATTATCTTACAGAAACCAGATACGATAAAATTTCTTTCTAGACATTCATTTTATGACCCTTCTGAATATTCAACAAAATTTTAATATGTGATGTAAGTATATTTTCATTATCTGTAACTTGACTTTTAGATTTACTCTGTGGCTTGTGACAATTTCTGTACCGGAAAGGGTCTTTGAATGAATAATTTGAATGTCATATTTCATGATTTCACTAAAAACAGTTATGAATATGTTAACCAGAAACTGTTTTTTATCTTTTGCAAGCGTGGAGCATAATCTATACAATTATGAAACTGGTATTTGAGCAAAAGAACAATATTGTTTATCTTGGTGAAAGATAAACTTTTTAATAAATTGATGGATGTAGCCGTTACTACGTGGTAGATCATAATTAAAAGAGAAATGAAAATTTCTATGTTTTTTACCACATGAAGGAACATAGAAATTTTCATTTCTTTTTTCATTATACACTTTATAATATGTCGAAACATTTGAAATAGAAGAACAATGATCGGTAACATTCGATTATGGAGAAAGACGTCCCTTTATGAGTTTATGAAAAGTGAATGGTCAATTTTTCAATAGTTTTCACTTTTGAGTGGCCATTTCTTCAAAACTAGAGGGGAGCGACAAGTGTTTGCCTTAGAATTGTGATCAACAGAAAAAATTTATAAGCAAAATTGAAAATAATTTGAAAAATACCTTCGAGTCCGAAAACCAAATATTACTGTTATTTCCATATAAATATAAATCATAATGAAATTTTGAAAAATTCACGACTGTAAGCAATTGTCAGTATTATTGTCGAAAGATGTTTACAATGCTTCATTCATCTGATTGAACTGCATTTAAAAAAATATTAATAAAACATTTAAAAAACCTGAATTATCGATTTTATTATTAACAAGATATATTTTATATTAGTACGAAATGTTAGAATAATGTTTGCTCATAAACAAGTGATTGGGAAAACTAGAAATGAAATTCTATTTATATTTACCAAGTGACATGGAAGTAAGTTCTGCACATTCCAGCATCGCAACCTATACAAACCCCTGTCCTGGCGAAGCGCTCGTCATCACATAGAGAACAAGTTTTAGCACCCCACCTACTGTATGGCATTTCAAATAGGGTTACGCTGGTTAATTTGTCTACTTCGCCAAAAGCAACTCCGGGTACATAAAGAGCACATACTAGATGAACCCATTTCCCCACGTCTGTCTCTTTGAAGATGCCCCCAGAGTTGGGGCAGAGCTCACAAACTGGTTCTTTGATACCTTTAACATAGAGATAAAAGTAGATAAAATGGACATGAAGCAATCATCAAGGATTCAACTAAACAAGCACTTACCAGCTTTGCAAGACTCACAAAACCAAGGTGTAGTTGGTGAAAGAGAATCTGTGCTAGCAATACTTGTAGATTCCGAAATGCCATAACAAGCTTCGTGTACTGTAATTCCACATCCATCACATTCGACAATTTCATTAACCCCGTCACTCTGATCCCCTAAGCAACCGCAGCAAATGAGTATTTGTGCATCCTTGTCATCAAACTGTAAAAATAAATAGAAGCAAGAAATTTTAAAAAATTATAATTATTTGAATAATAGTCTCACTTCTCTCAAAGAAAAAATGTATTGGAGTTACGTAGTTACGCAGACCAGAAATCTGAAGTCAAAACTTAGCGTCATAATTTAATTTTAGAAATACAGCCGTCCAAAGTTGAAACCATAAAAAAATCATCTTAATAGGTACTCTGACATAAAATGAATCTAAAGACTTTCCTCACACCACAACAAAAACACTCTTTCGCGTGTTTCGCTAATCAAGTTAGTGTCATCAGTAAACATGACAGTGATAATAGAATGTCATTTTACTAAAAGTGAGTCCATATCATTAAAAGTGAGTTCCTTAAATAGTCCATTTTTCAGCATTTGAATGTACTTATTTCCAAGAGGAGACAAGAGCACATTTTGAATTAAAATTCATGATTAGCAGACACACTACGCAAGTTCATTAAATATTTTTTTGAGAAAGTATTCAAGTTTTGTGTATTATTTCTAAATAATTACCTTTATTTTGGATTGAACTGATGCTTGCCGAATAATATCAGAAAAAGAACCGATTCCATTTGTGTCAGGGAGACTCAGATTTCTCAACTCATCCAAATCGGATCCATCTGTTATATTTTCCTCATCACTACTGGCATCATCTAAAACAAAGATACATCTATGACAAAACGATTCAAAGGGTTTGGAATAGCAAGAAATAGTCTCAAAAACTTCATCACCATTATCTCCTGCCTTACTGTCTAAGGAGTCATCGTCGTCATCGCTAACTTCTGGGTGATCTTCAATTCTAAAATCACTATCGTCGGAGCTCTCCTCGTCAAAATCTAGAACGCACGCTTGTTCCACTGGTTTCACCCTTCGCTTCTTTGGATCTCTCTCAACTGTTTCACATAAAATAATACGTTTTTAATAGAACTTTCTCAGGAATAGTTGGTCATAAAGTTGTATAAAGCATAAGAAAATTCAGTCATTTACTTACTGGAACTCATTTTTGACTGGTATCAAGTGTAATGCGATCCAAAAAATATGGTTCCAAATGTTTTAATTGAAAGTTATGACATGTTGATTAATAACCTAACTTCACCGGTCGTTGAGCTTTCCAAATGTTTTTCTCTTAGACCTTACTTGCTATTGATGCCAGCTCATTAGTAAGAAATCAACTTCAGGTTAATCAATAGTTTCTATTGAATATACTTCTGTTAATAAACAATATTTAAATGTAAATTAAAACTTCCGTGATCTGTGACTAGAAATAAAAATGCTCAAAAGTTAACTTGTCTCTGCATCTGTCAATGTCGAAGTAAAACACCTCCTCGTCCCTTTTGTATGGCCGTTGCTTCCCTCTCGGGTGCATTTGGCCAATTTTCTCGTGTAAACATTTAACAAGAGTTTTCGTGCGGTAGCGAAGCACTCTTGCAAAAAGCGATGCTGCTCCCCCTAATCTTTTCAATCATTTTTTGTTTCTTTGAAAACTTCTGAATTTTTTAAGTAATCTCTTTTTCGAAAGGCCTTTTGTTTTTTTCACGTACATTGCCCCTTTTACGTGATTATCCGATCCGCCCGGCCAGGATACCGGCTTGAATAAAGGGGGCCATCACTTCACAGAATTTTTGTCAGCGGTTACCTGAAATATATATTATTGTTAGATATTGAAACAGGAAGGTTGTGAAAATTGCTAAATTATTTTCGATGAGGAAACTGGAAACCATACACTGTGATTGTTTTTATAATACTCAAACTGAATATTGAAGTTGGCCGTTTCCTTTGAGTTCTGATGATTCGTTGAAAATCAAAGAATTCATGAAAATCAAAAAAGGTCTCTAGTATTCAAGAATTTCATGAACCAATGACATCTTGAGTGTTTCTTACAGTTCTTCTATATTTCAACATTTATTTGGTTCATGTAAGATTCAACCATTTTCAGGAAACCATATTCCGAATATTACCATTTTTCCATGAATATGATAGCAACGGTTATGTATAATCAAGGTTCTGGTTTGAGCTATTGCATATCACATGCTAATAGTCAATCATTATTAGAATGAGATAGTATGAAAATGTATTCACATTTCCTCGCGGCAAATTAAAAGAAACGTATTGTACTAGTTGAAACACATGGCAAATTTCGTGCATCAAAATCATGTCTACTAATCAGATGTTATTTCAAACATAAAATGTTCAAATTAGGTTGAAAAGGGATGATTTTTGAATGATATAAGTTCACTTTGAAAATAACAGCTTTTTGGCCTTTTTCTATTTATCCATCACTGAGTTAAAAAATATGAGAAACTCATTAAAGGAGGTAAAAGGAAAATAACTACAGTAAGATGAACATGGAATTACACAAATTGTTTCGAAGGTTTTTTTTTCATGAAAGAAACTGCTTTGGATGAACTAAACATCTTTGTAACGAGTTTACGGTAGTTATTTTTCTACTTCTTGTAAATTTATCTGCTTTTTTGTTCACAAAATGTTAATAATATTATTGATTTATTTCAGCATAGATATATTTATATACACATATCAACAATTAAACCGGGTTATTAGCAGTTAGAACCCAGAAACATCATTTAGTTTTGGTTCCATGATTGGCAATTGACATGAGGGCGACGATGACAGTGATGGCCATAGTGAACTAATTTATATTTGTCAGTTCTTAGTTCATACCACGTGACGCGAGTTGGTCATCGTTGTGGATTGCCCTGTCATTTTATCCCATTTGGAATATTTTCATCCTGAATTTATACTATGTGAGTAATTCAATTTACTTTACAATGACATTTTTTGAAAATTGTTCTGGAAATATGTTTCATTGTGGAAATCCTCAAAAACAAACATGTCAGATATTTCTGCGCCGCCATTTTATCTATATTTATTTTGATTTTCTCTCCTCATTCCAAAGCAAAGTAGAATTTGACTTTAACTTGTTACGTTTTATAAAATGTTACTTATGTAGAAAACTGCGGTTGATTCAAGTTTATTCTAACTCAGGGGTTCTTTGTCTGATATATGATAATCTTGAAGTTTTTAAATTTGATTTTTTCCTTTCTCAGTTGAAGTGATGAGCTTCAAAAATGTTGAAAGCTGAAGTAGTGGTTTATAACTTTTTATTTGGTTTAATTGTTATGATTTAATGGGTTTTGAAAGTAATGTAATAAACCACTCGTCATCCAGCGTTGCCATATACGAAAGTAAGTGTAGGTAGGATATATTATCTGAGAAAAATTTGTAAATACACATTTTTTCTGTAGGACAAAGATTTAATCAGGAACTGAATGATGATGCGATGAATGACATCAAAATTCAAAAGTGATCTCGTGTCATGAAGAATGTTTGGGGACAGATTTTATATAAAAAATAGTATTGACAGCTTGTCACACAATTTTCACTATTCTGATATTTACCTACACCTTCATTTCAATGGATAATTATCTTTCAGTGATGGTTTAGTGCTTCCAAGAAAGTGGCGAAGTATCCAAAACACCTCATTTTTCTATTCCATTAACTTTTAGTAAGGGGATAAATTAAATGATTTTGTGCGGTGTTGTCACATCATGTGAATACATATTCTTTTATGGTAAAAGTAAGTGTCTATTATATATAGTAAATACACACCTGAAGAAACTATTGTAAAGCGAAATATGTGTTGCGTTTTTGTAAAACTGTTTTAGTGAAAATCTCACAATGGAGTTTCTTGAATATTATATTCACTGTAGAAAAAAGAAGACCTTATGTTTTGGTTCTTCTGGTTCCATAGGTTCCATCCACTCTAGTAATAGATAGTTTTTTCTATTTGCAAATTAAAGGCTGCAACGCTCATTGGTGGCATGCAACGCTCATTGGTGGCAATGTTGCTGGCTGAAGCCATCTTAGTCATCACCTGTTGATGATAACTTGGTTAACGAAACGCGCCGTCGAGAGTCTATACTTTTGTTCTGAAATGTTTATATCAGATTCATTTAATGCCAGAGATTCCAGTTGTATCTATCAAGATGGCGTAAAACTTATTGGTTGCTACTATCATATTTTTTTTAATACAAGATATCAAACTTTGGTTTAGTCCACTGAAGCACCTTGTTTTCCCTTATAATTTTGCCAAACATCAGTCACGTTCATGAAAATTTGGGTTCAGGTTCTATTTTCCCTCTACTTCAAAGAAGACCATGTGCCTGAGGTTGTTTTCACCCTGAGGGAGGATGACTTTTTTCGTTTTATTGAAAATAAGTTCTGGAATGAATAGATTGACTAATTCTAAGTGCCTTTTGTTCTTTAAAGTTTTTTTCAAGTCAATGCTTTTTCAACCAATAAACCCATGTTTTTAGACGGTGGCAATTTTTTGTAAAATCACAAAATTGCTTTTTTCACTTCAAGCTCAGTTTTTCTCAAAACTGAACACTTTAAACCGGCATATTAAAAAAACAAAGTGAATTGTGAAGTGGTAACGATTATTTTCAATTGGAGTTGTAATCAAGGCGGTTTTCACATTTTTCAACATTTAACACTAACGATGTTTTTGACAAAATGGTTGAGTCATCGGAGATGAACCCAAGATGGCCTTCATCAATCGACAGCCTTCAAAACCGAATAAAAAACGATGTTTTATTGACATTTGACCATGTTTAAGGCTTTTTTATCAACCTCTAAAATCTCCAAATGAGTTGATGACTATTTTATAAAACAAAATATGAAAAAAAAGTACCTCGTGCGTAATATCAGTCTCAGCATTATAGCCTCAGTTTGTTTACTTATCATTCTAAGAATGTTATGTTAATTTTGCCCGTTTCGCAAGGATTTGTTTTAATGGAGGTCAATGAAGTGAGTACCTATCTTTACATTACATTTCGCTTTGTTCAAGATATGGCAATGAATATTTCTTTGGGTATCTTGTAATTTCGGTGAACGTGACTTGATTTCCTTTGGTTGGGTTCCATTGGATTTCTGCAGATCTAACATATGTCTCGACCTATATTATGTTTATTTGAAATTGATAAATAACTTTGAAAATTCTTTATGGCTGAAATGGATACCATTTGGATAGCTAATATTATCAATAACAAAATAAACAGTGATTCAAATTGTTTCCTGTACACCACTGCATATTGTATCCTTCCATTCTCAGACCAAATCGATATTTTGACCCCTTTTACGCGTTTGTTGCGCCTACCGACCATGTGTAGGTGAGTAGAGGGGGGTAGTTGATGTAGTAGGGGGTTGGCTACTGATATACCAAGTCTGTTAAAAAAATAAGGTGAATATTCGATGGGTGATTTTTTGATTTTTTTTTTCGTTTGCTTCACTCATCTCGAACTTATGCTCACAGTTGCAGCTTTCAGCACGTTCATTTGTTGGCGAGAGGCATAACAGTTAGCTATTTTCTGTTTAGCTATGTTCTGCTTTCGAAAAAAATAGATCGAAGAATTAGCATCAAATTTTGTCTAAAAAAATTGAATTAATTGCTCAAACACTTGACATGTTGACAGTGGCATACGGTGATTGTACTCTGAGTCAGAAACATATTTATAAGTGTTACAAGCTTTTCACAGAAGGTCGAGAAAATGTGAGTGACGACGCTCTTCCAGGATGCCCCAGCACATCAGCAACCGATAAAAATATTGAGAAAATGTAGAAAATTGTTATGGATAATCGTCGAATCACCACTGAAGAAGTTGCTGAGGATGTTGGCATATCGTTTGGTTGAGCTAAGGTGTAAGGAATCGTGCCGACAGCTGAATGGCCTCAGGGTGATTGCGGTCACGAATGATCTCCTTGGGAAACTGGGCGAAACCTCATTGTAATCAGCCTACCTCTGGTAATGCGGGGCTCTGCCAGAGGTGACCAACTCTTCCTTTGCTACTCGTGAATGAAACCACACAAAAACAAAAACCAATCCCGAGGCTGGACAGAAATGCTCACCTCAATCTAAGGCGGTGGCTGGGGATGAACAGAAATGCCCGCCCAAATCTACCACTTGGAATGAGGTTGGACATAGCAGATTACCTCCATCAGCAAGGGCACTTCCTGCGGCGGGAGCCAAGAGCTCCGCCTTGAATGAAGGTAAGAAACCGGCTGCCCCTGCAGGAAAGCTCCCCCACTTATGCAGATCCACGAAGGAAACCCCAAGAAGGTTGAAGAAACCGCGCAACGACAGTAATATAGCTGCACCTTCCGAAGCTTTCGCGGAGGCCACCGTGAGACACCTCAAGGTTGCCAAAGAGTCGGCGGGTTTTGGCCTACAACTGCCAATATAAAGGAGATGTCTCCTAGTGACCTGTTCACCTTCCTGGAAAGGACAGGATGGACGATGACCTAGGAGGACAACTC